TGTTGTTTTTCTCTCTTCCTCTTTTCCTCTTCTTCCTTGTTGTCTTCCTCTCTTCCTCCTTTTCCTTGTTGTCTTTCTCTTTTCCTCTTCTTACTCTCTTCCTCTTCTTCCTCTTTTTCTTTTGTCTTTCTCTCTTCCTCTTTTTCCTCTTTCTCCTTGTCGTCTTTTTTATCTTTCCTCTTGTCCTCCTCCTCCTTTTTATCGTCCTCCTTGTCCTTCTCCTCTACTACTTACTCTTTCTCCTCCTCTTCCTTTTCCTCTCTAACTTCACTTCCTCTTCCTCCATTTTCTACTCCCTTGCTCCCTGCTCCTCCTCCTCTTCCTTCTTCTCCTCCTCTCCTTCTCCCCTTCCTCCCACACCCTTATACCCCCCTGCTCCTCCTCCTCTTCCTTCTTCTCCTCCTCCCCATCTCCTCCTGCCCCCCTCCGCACCTCCCCTCCCCCTATCTGCCCCCCCCCCCACCTCCTACACACTCACTGCTACCTCTCCTCCCCCCTCCCCCTCCCCCTTCACCTCCTCTTCCACCTCCTTCACACTCCCTTATACCTCTCCCTCTCCTCCCCTCCCCCCCTCCCTTCCCTTCCCCCCTCCCCACCTCCCCTTCCCCCCCTCACCTCCTCCCCTTCCCCCCTCACCTCCTTCACACTCCCTTCTACCTCTCCCTCTCCTCCCCTCCCCACCCCTCCCCCCCTTCCCTTCCCTTCCCTTCCACCCCCCCCCCCCCCCCCCCAAGAGCGAAAGGTAAACTGGCCATCCATTTCCTTCTATTTACATACATCCTTCTGCTACCAACACCCGCTTCGGTCTTGATTGCTTCCTCCTCCTCCTCCTCCTCCTCTCCCCCCCCCCTTCCCTCCCTCTTACCCTTCCCCCTTTCTCCCTCCGCCCCCCCCCCCCCCCATTACCTCCCATCCCTTCCTCGCGTCCTTCCTCTTACTTGTTCTTATTGTTCCTTGTTCTTCCTTTTCTCTTCTTCTATTCTTCTATATCTTCACTGCTTCTGCTTCTTCTTCTTCTTCTTCTTCTTCTTCTTCTTCCTCTTCTTCTTCTTCTTCTTCTATTTCTTCTTCTACCGTTACTACTTCTTCATTTCCTCCTACTTCTTCCTCATCAGCCTCCTCTTCATCTCCTCTTCCTCCTCCTCCTCCTCTTCCTCCTCCATTCCTCCTCCTCCTCCTCCTCCTCCTCTTCCTCCTCCATTCCTCCTCCATTCCTCCTCCTCCTCCTCCTCCTCCTTTATTCCTCCACCTCCTCCTCCTTCTCTTCCAATCTCCTCCTCCTCCTCCTCTTCTTCCTCCTCCTCTTCCTCCTCCATTCCTCCTCCATTCCTCCTCCTCCTCCTCCTCTTCTTCCTCCTCCTCTTCCTCCTCCATTCCTCCTCCTCCTCCTCCTCCTCCTCTTCTTCCTCCTCCTCTTCCTCCTCCATTCCTCCTCCTCCTCCTCCTCTTCTTCCTCCTCCTCTTCCTCCTCCATTCCTCCTCCTCCTCCTTCTTCCTCCTCCTCCTCCTCCTCTCCTGCCAATTGGTTTGTTTCTTTAATTGTTAATCATCCATTTTTGATTTCATCTTCAATCTCTGACTCGTTAAAGAAAAAAAAAGTTAAAGGGACCATTGTTTCTGTTCATTAATAACCCTTCGAGAAAAAAAAAAGAAAAAAAAATACGTAGGAAGGGTGTTGGTTCGGTTACGTCGTGTTCGTTTGTGTTTGTCTGTCTGTCTGTCGTTTTGTTTATTCTCTTCTTGTGTCTTTTCTTTTTCGTTTTTTTTTTCTATAGTTGTGTTAGTTTGTGTTTGTTTTGTTTCTTTCTCTCCTTCTTCTTCTTCTTCTCTCGCTTTCTCTTTTCTCTTCTCCATTTTCCTGTCTAAATCCTCATTCTCTCTTCCTCTTCCTCTCTCCCCCTCATCCCCTTCCCTTTTTCTCTTTCTTTTTCTTCCTCATCACCCTCTCCCTCACCCTCTTCCTTTATCTCCCTTCTCCCCCCTCCTCCCTCCTCCATCCCCCATCCTTTCTCTCCCCCCCCCCTCCTCCGCGTCTTCGTGACCAGGTCGGACATCGGTTTAATTGAGGCTTTATTCATTGGCTACACTGAAACAGGACCTGCCCGGCTCCCTTCGCTTATAAAGGGGTTTTCATAAGGGGAGAAAGGGGGGAGGGAGGGGGGAGGATTGGGGAAGGGGTGTGGGGGGGGGAGAGACGGCTCAGGATGAAGGATGAGAGATGGCGGGGGGAATGGAGGAGGGAGGGGTGGGGGGATGGAGGGGAGGGGGAAGTGGTCGTGTGGCGTAGGAGGGAGGAAAGTGTGTGTGTGTTTGTTTGTGTCCGTTGTTGTCTTGGGAGGAATAATTAAAGGTTTATGGACACCTGTTCATAGGCACGCACACATACTAACACAAACACACATACATACACAGACTCACATACACATACACACACATACACATACAGAGAGAGAGAGAGAGAGGGAGAGAGAGAGAGAGAGAGAGAGAGAGAGAGAGAGAGAGAGAGAGAGAGAGAGAGAGAGAGAGAGAGAGAGAGAGAGAGAGAGAGAGAGAGAAAGAGAGAGAGAGAGAGAGAGAAAGAGAGAAAGAGAAAAATAGAAGAATAGAAAGAGAGATAGAGAGAGGGAGAGAAGGCTTAGGGCTCAACTACACCAAGGTGCCTCAAGCCAGGCGCAAACAGACCAAAAATGCCAAAGATGTCAGCCGCTTTGGCGCAGAGAAGCTTCACCAAAACAAAATCCACGAAGGCTTTTTGGGTTTTGGCAGAGGGGGGGGGGGAGAGAGAAATAGCAGGAGAAATTTGGGAAGAGAAGGAGGGAAAGAAAATGCCGGATGATGGGAGAAAGAGGAAGTGATAAGAAGAGAAGAAAATGAAAGAACACATAAGAATTAATGAAAATAATAATAATTACAAGACACAATAAAAGGAGGTAATTAAAAGAAAACAATTGAATTAGTATCTAAATTTTCAGGAAATATTCTGATCTCAAAAACAAGATAAAAAAAAAAAAATAAAATCCCGGTGTTAATATGCAAATTGGGGCGTGGCGATCCCGGTTGCCGTTTTCTTCCTAAAAAGATCAACAGAAAACGGCTTCTTTACATGATGTCGACACCCAGTTTTTTATTACTTGTTTTTTGCTATTTTAATTTTTTCTTTTTTTCTATGTCTGAAAGGATAATGTTTAGTTGTTAACTTTTTTTTTCTACTCAAATATTTTGTTGTAATGTTTTTATTTTTTTCATAAGTTAGAAATATTGATGATAAAGAATATGGTTCATAATCATTATTATCATCTTCATCACCATCATCATCACCATCATTATCATCATCATCATCATCATTATCATTACCATTACCATCATTCTCCTCACCATACACGCAACTCCCTCCTCCCCCCCCCCCCACCACCAATCCAGTTAATCCACAGTGATAAATTGCCCTTTAGAAAAAAAAAAAGAAGAAAAAAAAAAAAAAAAAAAATCCGCCCACGCCAGGAAGCCAATCATCTTGAGAACTTGAAAATTCGAGGCGGATTCCACAAGGCTGGGAACTGCTTCGGGGTTTTCCTTTTTTTTTAATGGTTGGTGTTCGTAAGCCTTTTATTTTATTTTTTTGTAGTTATTTTTTTATTTTATTTTATTTTATTTTTTTTATTTTTTTTTTTTTTTATTTGCTAGTTTTTTTTATGTTTTTGGTTGTTTTTTTAATTGTTCCTTTTTCTTTGTCGTGGGATTGAGACACTAAAAGAAATAAAATACCTGTTTCTTTTTCTTTTTTATTTTTGAAGTTCTCCATTTTCCTCCTAATCTTATTTTTATCTTTTCCCTTCTTGTTTTTTTTCTATTTACCTGATACCTCCATCCTTTGCCCTTTCTTGTTCTTCCTCCTTCCTTCCTCTGCCTCTTCCCTCTCTTCTTTTCCACCTCCTCTTCTTCCTCTTCATTTGCTTCGCCCCTCCCCCCCCCACCCTTTTCTTCTTCTTCTCCCCTTCCTCCCTCTCCCCCACCCCCTTCCTCCCCTCTCTCCCCTCCCCCTTCCCCTACCTCTTCCCTCCCCCTCTCCCCCTCCCCTACCTCCTCCCTTCCCCCTACTTCCCCCCTCCCTCCTCCTCACCCCCTTCTCCTACCTCTTCCCCTCCCACCTCTCCCCCTCCCCTACCTCCTCCCTCCCGCCCTTCCCTCCCTCCTCCCTCACTCCCCCCTCTCCCCCTTCTCCCCCCTCCCTTCTCCCCCCTCCATCCTCCTCCTCCTCCTCGTCGTCTTCCTTATTAAAGGGGAAGCCGTTAATATCGATCCTAATTTTTATTCAGGAGAAAGTCGTTACACATTTGCCAATTACTGGAGTGGAGTGAGTTACGGCCTTGCGATCACGCGCGGCTTATCGTACCTCTGGCACCCGGGCTCTTATATATTTCCAATGCCTTGTTTACATATGGATGGAGAGAGAGAGAGAATGAGAGAGAGAGAGAGAGAGAGACAGACAGACAGACAGACAGACAGACAGAGACAGACAGACAGGCAGACAGAGAGAGGGGGAGAGAGAGGTTGATAGACGGATGTGTAGATGGATAGGGCAAAGGTAGTCTTATTTATTGTCTCTTGGTAATAGGGAACTTTCTCTTTAAAGTTCTTTTCTTTGTGTTGATAAGTACATTCTGTTATCAGTTTGATAGAAATACTGATAATGGTTATAATGGTGGTGAGGATTACAAGCATTAATAGTTAGGATGATAGTAATGATGAGATTAATGATGATAGTGATAATGATGATAATGATAATAATTACAATATGATATCACAAATACTACTACTAACTATAACAATATGAACAGTAGTAGTAATAATAGCGTGTATTTACTCTTAAACACCGAAACACAATTTTCTAATAACATCAACCATTAAAAAAAAAAAATCAATTTCTTATTTTTTCTGTTTGACAACAATTTGTAACACCATTTGACATTTTCCAACCTCTTGTTTTTTCTCTTTTCCAACAGCTGTGTGTAAACTTGGCTGTCATCCTGAACACGGAACATGTCAAGAACCGGGACAATGTCGGTAAGTGCGAAATTTCTATTCTTTTATAACGGGTATTGGGTCTATTGTTTCTCGTTCGTGGGTAGTGTTGAGTAACCACGTTTATGTTACGCTGTCATTTCAAAGTGTAACGTTTTCTAAATCGATTTAATTTTATGTTAGATTTTTTTATGATAGAAAGGGGGGAGGGGGGAAGAGAAGTGACATAAGATAATATTAAATCTACGAAAACGATAATGTATTTTAGCAAACAGTACAAAAAAATAGAAGGAGAAAAAGGAAGCAGATGCAATATATGAAATAATTTTGGCGGGGAAGAAAACAGAAGAAAAAAAAAGAAAAAAAAGAAAAGAAATGAAAAAATGCATTGAGTGGTGCATTAGTGCATTTCAGAACTTACCAACTTTTACCTGTTCACTTTTATGAATGCATAAAGACCTCTAGTTCGCGTGTCTGCAGGTTGAGGGGAAGAGAGAGAGGGGGTGGGGGGGTAGAGGGGGAGGGAGGGGGGAGGTGTGTGGGCGTTGCACGAAAAATGGGAGGCAGAGAGAATGCAAAAAGTTTTACTTGAAGGAAGGGAAGTCAGAGACACGAAAGATGGGAGAAGAGGGGAAAAGAGGCAAAAATTACGAGTGGGAAGATAAACAGGAGAGAGAGAGCGAGAGAGAGAGAGAGAGAGAGAGAGAGAGAGAGAGAGAGAGAGAGAGAGAGAGAGAGAGAGAGAGAGAGAGAGAGAAAGCCGGAAGAAAGAAAAGGTAAATGAAAATAGAAGAGTTGACCGAATTAGAACAAATGGAAATGCGTCTCACGGAAGAAAAATGACACTTTAAACAGTCATTTCCTCTCTGCTTGAAAGCAAATGATTGCTTGCCTATTAAATTGATTAAGCAAGTTTCGCAATTAACATGAAATCGGTGAAATTACCAGATAATAGGCCAAAAGAAGCAAATTTCAAGTCGAAAAAATGAAATAAAAAATGAAAGCCAAACTAGTTCATACCAGGAGTGGATTTCAGCCGTAGCGTGGAGAAATAAAATAAAATAAAACAGAATAAAAAAGTTTAAGAGAGAATAAACGAGAATAGACGCATCCGGAGAAATACAGTTTAGTTACTGAAATTCAATAATGTAATATTTATGAAAAGTCAGTATTACTCGTTCGCTCAGTTCGTAAGCATTTTAACTAAATTATTATTATTTACCTAAGTCATTAGCTCAGTTCATAAGCATATTACCTAGATTATTATTATTTAGCTAACTCATTCGCTCATTTCATAAACATTTAAGTATTTTTTGCGGTTTAAAGGAAACGGACATTAGCATATAAGTATGTAAGTGCGAAAGTCCACCGGTATTTTGGCGATATATTAGCGTGGCAGTGTGGGGGCGTGGGAGTCTATTGCTAAGGTAGCGTGGAATAGTGGAGTCTGCCATTCCACCGATATGTTGGCGTGGAAGTGATAGGGAGGAGGAAGAGGGTGAGGAGGAGGAGGAGGAGGAGGAGGGGGAGGGGGAAGAAGAGGGGGAGGAGGAGGAGGAGTGAGAGGGGGAATGGGAGGAAGAGGGAGGAGAGGAAGAGGTGGGAGGAGGAGGAGGTAGGGAGGAGAGGAGGAGGAAGGAGGAGGAAGAGGAGAAGGAGGGAGGAAGAAGAGGAGGAGGAGGGAGGAGAGGAGGAGGAAGGAGGAGAGCAGAATAGGGGGAGGAGGAGGAGGAAGGAGGAGGGAGGAGAAGAGAACAGGGAGGAGGAGTAGGAGGAGGGAGAAGAAGGATAGTAGAAGGAGTGAAAATAGAAGAACGAGGACGAGCACGTGGAGGCAGGACGTGGAGTGGCTCAGCATCCACCAGCATCACAGGGTGGAAGGACAGGCCGCCGGGCGCGAGGGTGGAGGAGGTGGTAGCGCCGACTCCACATCCGGGAAGAAGTTAGCTTCGGAATGTCGGGCCGGAATGCTGGATGTAGTGTGGCGCTGCAGCCGACCCCTCCCCCTCTCGCCCTCTCTTCCCCCTCCCCTCTCTCTCCCTCCTCCCCCGTGTCCCCTTCCCCTCTCTCTCCCCCCCCCTTCCCCCTCCCTCCCTCCCTCCCTCCCTCCCTCCCTCCCTCCCTCCCTCCCTCCCTCCCTCCCTCCCTCCCTCCCTCCCTCCCTCCCTCCCTCCCTCCCTCCCTCCCTCCCTCCCTCCCTCCCTCCCTCCCTCCCTCCCTCCCTCCCTCCCTCCCTCCCTCCCTCCCTCCCTCCCTCCCTCCCTCCCTCCCTCCCTCCCTCCCTCCCTCCCTCCCTCCCTCCCTCCCTCCCTCCCTCCCTCCCTCCCTCCCTCCCTCCCTCCCTCCCTCCCTCCCTCCCTCCCTCCCTCCCTCCCTCCCTCCCTCCCTCCCTCCCTCCCTCCCTCCCTCCCTCCCTCCCTCCCTCCCTCCCTCCCTCCCTCCCTCCCTCCCTCCCTCCCTCCCTCCCTCCCTCCCTCCCTCCCTCCCTCCCTCCCTCCCTCCCTCCCTCCCTCCCTCCCTCCCTCCCTCCCTCCCTCCCTCCCTCCCTCCCTCCCTCCCTCCCTCCCTCCCTCCCTCCCTCTCTCTCTCTCTCTCTCTCTCTCTCTCTCTCCTCTCTCTCTCTCTCTCCCCTTCCCCTCCCTCCCTCCCTCCCTCCCATCCTACCTGTCTCCCCCACCCCACCCCTTTTTTTCTCAAGTTTAGCGCCGTCGTGTTTTGCTTCGGAATTGCTCGGATTCTTAAACGAAACTTAAGTAATTACTCGAAACGTTTTCTTGAGCAAAAGATAATGGCCTGTAACGTCTCGCGCTTCCAGTGTCTTTGCGAATTCTTGTAGTTGTTAGGTATTTGTCGGTGGCGACCTTGGGAGTTGGGAGAAGGAGGAGGAAGTGAGAGGGAGAAGGAGAAGAGGAGGAAGGAGAGGGAGAAGGAGGAGAGGAAGAGGGAGAAGGAGAGAGGAGAGGAAGGAAGAGGAGAAGAAGAGGAGAGGAAGAGGAGGAGGAGAAGAGGGAGAGGAGTGGAGGATAGGAGGAGGGAAAAGAAGAAGAGGGAGGAGAAGGAGAGGGAGAGGAGGGAGGAGAGGTTAAAGAGGAGGAGGAGGAGGAAGAAGAGGAATAAGGAAGGAGAAGAAGAAGAGAGGAGGGAGGTAGGAGAGGAGGAGAGGTTACAGAAGAGGAGAAGGAAGAGGAAGAACAAAATGAATAAGAAGAAGAGAGGGAGGAGGTGATAGTGGAAGAAGAAATGATGATGGAGAAGAAAGAGGAGGAGGAGGAGGAGTAGGAGGAGAAGAAAGAGGAGTAGGAGGAGGATGAAGAGCAGAATGAGGAAGAGGAAGATGAGGAGGATGTCAGTAAAGGATAGAAAAGGGAAGAGATGGAAGAGAATAAGGATTGACCTACGGCGAGAGAGAGAGAAACAGAAAAGGAGAAGAAAAAGAAATAGAAGAAAACAGAGGAAAGACGTTCTAAACCGCCCTCGTTTTCTGTTGGAAATGAGAAGCTTCCAGAACCTCGTGTCGGGCGGCCTCTGGCAACGAACTCTTTTTATTTTCGATATTTTTTTTTATTTTTTTTTTATTTTTTTCGTTTGTTCGTTTATTATGAGAAAAAAAAGATTACGACTTCTACCTTCAAAGGAAATAAAAATAAAAAAAATAGTCTAATGAACCGAATTCCAAAATTGCAAAATCTCCCAGAAGAAGAAGAAGAAGAAATAGAAGAAGAAGAAGAAGGAGAAGAAGAAGGAGAAGAAGAAGAAATAGAAGAAGAAGAAAAAGGAGAAGAAGAAGGAGGAGAAGAAGAAGGAGGAGAAGGAGAAGAAGAAGGAGAAGGAGAAAGAGAAGAAGAAGGAGGAAAAGGAGAAGGAGAAGAAAAAGAAATAGAAAATGTGAAAGAGGAATAGAAAGAATACGACGATAACGAGCAAGACCAACAACAAAAACAAAGCAATAATGAGAATATCCCAAGATCTGAAAACTGCCTGGAATCTTGGAGACTTCTTGCAGAGAATTATTGCAAGTTGCCTGACCTCATGGCGACCCAGACTAGCAGTGCAGCTTTAATGCAATGGTGGCCCGCCAGTGTGCGTGTGTGTGTGCGTGTGCGTGTCACGTAGCGCTCTTGTGTGACTCATGGAGCAGTCTGGACGCACATGTTGATGCACAGAGGGACGGATTGTCTTTAAGTGCCTGTGTGTGTTTATATATATATATATATATATATATATATATATATATATATATATATATATATATATATATATATATATATATATGTGTGTGTGTGTGTGTGTGTGTGTGTGTGTATGTGTGTGTGTGTGTGTGTTTGTGTGTATGTGTATGTGTATAATGTATATATATATATATATATATATATATATATATATATATATATATATATATATATAAATGTACACACACACACACACACACACACACACACACACACACACACACACACACACACACACACACACACACACACATACACACACACACACACACACACACACACACACACACACACACACACACACACACACACACACACACACACACACACACACACACACACACACATGTATGTCTGTATACATCCATATATATCCAGATACACATGTATACTTACAGGTATACATTCGCACACACACAACCATGGCGTGATGCCCTCACTATCATCACTATCACTGTGCCTTGTTCTCGCTATCTCCTTTGTGACGTAGAGAAGATAGTACTTTTTAATAGCAATGATAGCAACAATTATGGTAGAAAAAGACACGTAGTAAATATGATAATAAGTGAAATAACAAAGATGATAAGAAGAATTAGGAATATGATTGTAATAGAGATAAAAATAATAGCAGTGATAATGATAATGATAATGATAGTGATCACGATGACAATAATGAGGAGGATGATAATGATACTAATGATGACACCAAGAATAATGGTAATATTGATGATAATAGTAATGATAATAGTAACAATTTCGTGGTCTTAGATTATTGTTAGATAAATAGATTAGAGATTTAAAAATGAATAAAGA